TACCCCCCCTACCCCCCCGCCCCCGTTACTGAAACCATCTACACGCCCCCCAAGGTCGGCGGATGTAGAGGCTTTATTGGGATAATGGAAAATAAAACAGAATAGAAATTACAAACCTTTAAACCCTAAACCCTTAAACCCTCAACCCCTTAACCCTAAATCCTTAACCCAAAATCCTCAAGGCTTAGGAGTTTAATTAAGGTTTAGGGAGGCCTTTTTCGCGGGTCCTGCTGTACAGGGTGGCAGGCTAAAAGGGTTTAGGGTTTAGGGTTTTAGGCTTAGTTCTGCGTAGGCCCCTGAAATATTTGATATTTTCCTAATAGCTTTAATAAGGGACCCTATATACTAACATTTTTCAAAGGGCTTTAGGGGCCAACCCAGAATTAGGCAGAAAACCCTGGCCCACTTTGCCCAGGGTTTAAGGTTTGGGGTTCAGACGTGGGTGCTGCGCAGTTGTTCCCGCAGCAGTTGCGATCTCCAGTGGTAATGCGTCATCAGCGCGTTGTCATAACAAGCCACATTCATCGCAACAATGGCCAGGTATATTGCAATAACATTGATGTTGGTGGTTTGTTGGTGGTTTTGGTTTGAGTGGACGTAGTGGATCTCTGTGCATGGGAGTTCATTGCATGGCAAAGTTCTGTCTGCAAATATATGAGCCAGAGCTCTTCTTCCAGGAGGAAGGGGGTGGTAACAGGGTGGAGGGTTAGACACTAAACGCCATAAGAGAACAACGGAAAACAAAAAGCAACTTTGATGATTAATCTTTTATGCTGCACCCTCAAACCTAAGCACCCAGGCATTTCATGTCCGCCTTCTTTGCCTTGGATTCGATAAGAGCTGCCCACCGCAGTGACTTGATCCCTATTGGAGAATGGTTTACAGTCCAGGGTTTGAGGGGTGAGGGTTGATGGTCGTTTCCAGAAATCAAGGGACCTCAGTAAGATCCCCAAGCGCCACATTCTTCTCTATAGGGACCCCCCCCCCCCAAAGAAGCCTCTTAGGGGCTTAGAGGGTGTAGGGTTAAGGTCTGGGGTTGGAGGGCTAGGAATCAAGCTTTGGGGCTTGGTAGTTAGGGCTTATGACATGCCGTTGATACGTAAACCCTTCGCAAGAGATCGAAGCCTAGAAGTTCAACAGTGCACTAAACATTTCATCCTAATCACCTTAAATCCCAAGCAGTCATGAAGTGTCCGTGATAATTTACGAACTGGGACTCTACGTGATGTTCACGAATGTCCTTATTGCCTATGTCCTCGCATGCTGCTTTGCATCCCTAGATTCAGATGGACACCCCGCTTTGAAGCGGAATTGTCCAGTAGCTGCACAGACAGTTACTATAAGCATCCAGAAGCGGACCCCAATGTCGGTTCCGTCAAATCTCAAATCATCAGTTCGCCAAAGCTTTACAAGGGGTACGCTAAACTACTAAGAACCCCAAGTCCTGTAAACAGTAAACCTTCATCTTTTGAACCCTATTCGGAAGTTCATCGGTAGTTGTAATCTACTTATCTTTGCACATGACAACCATATGAGCTGCTGTCAAGATTGAGGATACCAAGGGTCCATTAGGGCTGGACATGGGGGTCCCTAGTCCCTTGCCTTAATAGTAACCGATGTCCATTCCTTATATGGGAAATATTGACTGCAACCCATATTTGGGGTCTTAGGGAGCTTGTTGCTGGGGTACATGTTGCAAGTAGCTGATAATTGCCAGGAAGCTCCAAATACAGCCTATTTCACTTCATTACTCTCGCGTACTGTATAAGAGTATCTCAAAACAACAACTGTGCAATCCTCACTAGAGATCTGCATTCTCACCTCATGGCCCAGACCGCGCTCAACCCTAAGCCCTATACTGCTCTGATTTATTCGGGTGTTTCTCAAACCCTAGACCCTAAACCCTAAATGATCCTGATGAGGCAGCCCAAAAATTCCCGTATAATCCCTATCTGTGTCTGGGGGTCCCTAGGGCACCCGTATCTTGAAAAATCCTTTGTTGTACTGAACCTGAAGCCCTAGGGACGTTGCACCAGGCCAGAGTAAAAAGAAGGCAATGGCGGGGGATGTGGAGAAGCTTCATGCGCACCCTTGTCTGATTCGGAGAGTTTCTCAAAATGGAGAAGTCCCTAGGGACCTCGAGGGATACATCGGGATTATGGGGTCCCTTTTAAGTACATCATAAGGGTAGTTTGAAAAATTGTTTATCGTAGGGTCAAAGGTTTAAGGGGTTTCAGATTCAGGAACATCATTTGAGCGTGGGGTTGAAGGCGCTGCGTTTAGGATTCAAAATTCAGCGAGTGGAACAATATCTTGGGCTGGTCTCTGATTATGCAGTTTAGGGCTTGTAGGGTTTGAGGCTCAGGAGAAGGACCCAGTACTTTTGGGGCCTTACCTTGGCATTGTCCAAAGAGATACGTGGTATGCCCCGTGATTGAAAATGTCAGACTTAAACCCTAAACCCTAAACCCTAAACCCTTAGTCCTAAACCCTAAACCCAAAACCCCTTAACCCTTAACCCTTAACCCCTAACCCTTAACCCTAAACCCTAACCCTACACCCTATCCAGAGCATGGCCTCGGGGATGGCAATGGCCCGCATGGAGTAAAAAGCCCAGGAACATTGACTACATTGGACTTGTGTTTTGTAAATTAAAGGGGACCTCAGACAGGGAACCCCAAGAATATAGTAGGAATACAGTTTGAATAAGGACGCTGCCATGTATAATCTTCTTATCGTATTCTGACTTGTTAAAAGGATGTATGTACGTATATATACATATATATATATACATACTTAGGTTTCCCTGTTGGAGGTCCACATCAGAGTCCTTTTCTCTAGGGTACGAGGCTTTAGGGGTTTTTGGGGCATAAGAAGATTCCACAGTATTTGTGTTTCTTAGTGCTACTACGGCCAAGGCTGCCAAGAACACGCTTTATGGCCAATATCGCGAAGAACACGCCCATCATTCTAAATGATGTGCGTTTGCCTAGATGTCCAGATCGCCTAAGATTTAGCCGACGATTCCTCGACTTGCGCTGTAGCAGTCTATCCCCAGTAGTCGTTACTTATGCCTATAGTTCTGGAGGCTTGAGGAGTCACAGGTATGTAAAGATTGTGCTTGAAATTCATCCTCTACGGCCCTATTCTGAAGGTTTGGGAGCAAGGAGTAGAAACATTGTTTAGGATTCTTTGAGCCTTCTGAATCTTGCCAAGTTGACACTGTTGGGTTCTCCGTTGTGAATGGACATGGGAGAGCGCCATAGCGAGTCCATAGTCGTTGCTGTGGATTTCTCTAATAGCCGCATAGTAAAACCCCCAATAAAGAGCAATCCCCTACCCCTACATGAGATTACCCACCCCCCCCACCATGATGTTAGATGATTCAATGTCAGGGTGGGTTATTTGTTCAAAAAATCAGATAGGGCGGCCTCTAATGTGAAATAATTCGAAAGCGGATTAGAACCCAAACAAAAATCGATTGACATCTATCTGCACCCCCATTGGAATCATAGTAAAACCTGTTAAAATCTAATCAGACCTGTTAAGAATTTTGTGAAATCGACAAAATCCTCCTAGAATCAGGGGGTCCCAAATTCCTCATACCTTCCCTCACGGCCGCAGAACCCACTCATTCACTACTGTGTTGCCCCTTTTATGTGCGGTCTTGCCCGTTTGGTTGTGCTCTACAGGATTTTTGGGCTTCTGGATGCATTATTTAATTTTTGGGGAGTTAATTCTAGCCGAGGGTTCTCGCAAGTTTACTTACCATGTCATTCGCTCTAAGAACTTCTCTATGCTCTGGAAAGTCACCCTACATGGCCCTACATGTTGGCTTCAGTGGGCTACGCTCACCCCAAGCGGAGGAAACTCAGGGGCAACAATCCCATATCAAGGGCTAGAAGCTTTCCGCGCAGCTTAAAAAGGCTAAACCGCAAGTTGTTAGTGACAATTCCAGCTAGACGACTACCTCCAACATGTCATTCCAACGATTTAAGCAGTCTCCTGGCTTCCGCCCTCACATTCCTTTCTCCCCAAACCTCAAACACTACATAAACGAGCCCGTGTTTCAAGGCAGGGCCCAGAAGCTCCGATCATTCCTGCTGACCCCGTCCGCCGAGTTACTGGACGAGCCTTTAAGGTTCAGGGTCCAGGTCGCCGGGTCCAGGGCTTTGAGGTTTGGGTTCGAGGGTTCAGGGTTTAGGGCCCTAGGCTTCGATGTTGAGGGGAAGCTTGAGGTTTGAGAGCCATGAAAATTGGCGTCGATTTTCCTTCCCTAGACGAAGACGGAGATGCAATGGGGCACTTGTGTCACTTGTTATTCGAGCTGTCATTGGACGCTCTCCTAAATTCAACATACCAAAGTTTGAAGACTTTTCTTGGGATCTTCAGGTCATACTATGCCTAGGCTAAGGGGGACTATGCGACCATATCCTCACAGCGATCTTGCCTGTGGTGGCCTTGCGAGACTTTTTTTTGGTTAGAGGAGCAGGGCTTGGTTGTAAGTTTGAAATACCAGTAATGATATGAGTAACAGTACAGAATAATATTGATTATTGTAATGTAGCAATGATATTAGCCACAGTAATAACAGCATGGGCTGCGGTTTTCTGCTTGAGGTTCCGGAACCCCGGGCCATGTTCGGAAAGCGTGAAGAAATGTGAGCTACGGTCTAAACTCCTTGGAAGGGGCAATATAGGAGACTGTATAGCGGACTACTATAGGGCTTCATAAGAGGGGTACCAGGAGTTTATAGCATAGCTCATGTGCATGTAAAGGTTTCCCATGCCCCAGGAAGCGACTGAGCTCCGCAAGCATTCGACAGGTTTCGATTTTCTTGACGGGTTCTTGATGTCGAGCAGACATTCACTATAACATGAGCTCGGGTCAAAATTACCATTCGCTAGATCATGTTTGGGCGGACATAATTTTAGCGCCTGACGCTGAAAAGCCCTGTAAAACGATGGGAAAGACGAAGGCAGCCGATAACCGTGTTGCAGTTAACCCTGCTGCTTGTAAACAGGCGCAAGTCGGACAAGGGATTGGGGAGACAATGGAACACGCTAACCCCTAGCCTATGTATTCGCCAGGTGTGGAATCTCAACCACAGCTCAGATGAGTCACTGTCCCTGCTACAGTTACCAAAGGCCCGTGAAGAGTTGATATGAGGGTCCCCCTGTAGTTGTTTACAGTCCCTAACAATTTTCCATTAGGATCCATGTCCATTAGCTATATGAGGAACTAATTGTAGCTCATATAGGCAAACAACTTGGGTCCTGATAGCAAGTAACACTTGCAAGTGCAAACCACGTGAATCCTCTGCTTGGAGGGTTAGAGGTGAATGCTAAGGATCTAGGGGGATTTTGTACGCAATTATAGGTTAGCAATGAGGTTGTAGGTATACTTTCTAAGACATGATACGTCCTCCCGGCTCTCAAAACATCGTCCGAGCACGCTTGAACCGCTTTCAACAACCCGTATCCCTAAACCTGTCCCAGCGTCGTCCCAGTTTGCCGCTATTCTTTTTGGGGATTCTGCAATACTTTACAACCGTGGTGCTGGAGGCCTTTAATAGGCATCCAAGAGCGCTGCACTTTACACTGACAATGCAGTGACCCAAGGATTTGTTTGAGATCGTTCAGGAACAAGATCTCGTTATGGGGGGGAGTCTTCTAGCCTTTATATCTTAAGCTGTCAGCTTCCAGCATGGGCGGTGAAAGCTACAGTCCTTCTGGTAACCGCCTTAGTAAGATGGCTCACTCAATGTCGAGAACACCTACACATTCTCACAAGGCTAGTCGCGCGCCACCCCCGCCGCGTCGACCCAGCATGTATGGCACGATTCCTGCTGTCCCTGGGCATTGAAGACATGTACGTTTTTTGCTTTGTTTAGTGTTGGTTATAAGGATTTGATATGCACTTGCAAGATAGCTTAAGCAACGAGAGCGCTACGTGCAGGGTATTTACTTGGACCGCGGGAGACCAAGGACATTGCAATTGTTCACTCCAAATGGCCGTTTACAAAAGCATGATATCAACTATACAGTACATAGTCCCATACCGTAAACATTGATTTCACACCTTGGAAGTAGAATGATCGGGCCAGTATTTGCCTGGCACCTCGCGCCGAAGTCAGGCCCCTCCCGGCGTGAACAACCCCACGACTGCTCCAGGGCGGCTTGGTTGAACTAAAGAGCCCGCTGCCCACATGCAGGGTTAAGGGTTTAGGGCTGAAACGAAAAGAGCCCCGTGTCCACACGTCTGAGGGCAGAGAGGCTATCATGGGCTGGTGAGTTCGGGTGTGGTTTTTTAAGGTGTACGGTTGCCCTTGGAAGCAGAACGCCCACGAGTACCTCCAATAATAAACCCATGATTATCCGTCGATATCCCTAGTAGACCCTGGGGCCCTCGAGGGCTTCCCTTTAGGAGAAACTCCCAACTTGGCTGTTTGGTATATTTTTGATTGGAAGCTTTTAGGATTCTGCAAGCGGCTGTCTGCCCACACATTGAAAGTCCTTATGAAGCTGCAAAATAGAAAGATGGGTAACTTACCATGACGGCATAGGTTTGCTTCTAGGTAGGGAGCGGACAAAGGGAATGTGAAAGATCTCTGCAGGAATGTATCTATCCTTCTACACTCCTCGCGCTGGCCCTAACGGTCGCTGTCTTTTAAGGTACGTGAGGATTCTTCTGAAATTTAGTTTATTCGAGTATTGATGACTAAGCCCAAAATCTGGCAAATTCCAGGCCCAGCCGGATTTGATTTCAGGCTTTGTGCTTACAGCGCAGGGTCAAGGATTTGGCTTACAGGTTCGTAAAGCTTAGCGTGTGGTTCTAGCGTTTGGGGTTTGCGACTTGAGGGTATCAAGTGTACTCCTTATTGCAGACGTGCGTGATCTCTGTGGCATGCCGGGGTGCATCATGGTTACCTGAACACAAGAACGCGACGCTGCTCAGACAACATGGGAGAAAAAGTTCATGGAACTATGATTGCTCCAACCCATGATTCCACGCAAGCCATGTGACAAAAACTGCGAGGTTGGCTTTTTCGCAGCCAAAGTAAGCACAGGATTAGTTTTGGGCCTCAGCCCAACTCTACATGTTCTCTAGTAGACTCATCCCGTGACCCCGCCAAACTAAGCCCGCAGTTAGGCTTCGGGGTTAAGGCCTAAGTCCAATTCTAATATTTGCAGTAAAATCAGAATAGCAGTTCTAAGAAGCGTAACAGTACTAGCAATAAAAATATTCGGGTCCCTGAGTTTCGAAGTCAGAACACTAAGCCCCCGAAATGGAGACTGAGTGACGCCACTCCAGCTGCGACAGTGGCTTGTCTACTTTTGGAGGGTTTAGGGGGTTTAGTGTTTAGGAGGTATGCAGATTGGCCGTGAGGGCCCAGGAATTTTGGGTGGTGGATTCATAGGGTTTGACGATGCGGCCGCACTTTTCTCCATGGCCTGGTGGCTGGTTTTCATCTTCTGTAAGACTTGAGGCTTAGCTTTGCCATTGAGGGGTAGTAATGACGACCATGATGACGGGGTGCTCGTCTTTTTTGTACAGCACCCTACACCCTAAACCCTCAACCACTTGGATTGAAAGGCTCATCTTACTTGGAGAGCAGAAGGTCTGGGTCATGACATGACGTACTGCTTTTCCAGAAGGGCCATGTGACGAAGCCAAAACCCTTAACCCTAAAGCCTGGCAAGCCGGGTATTTCTTCACACGTTTTTCTCCCCGTCTTTAAAATATGAGCTATAGTCTGAAATCCTTGAAGAGGGTTCTATAAGGGATTATATAGGGGAGTATTCTGGGGCTTATTAAGGGGGATACTAGGAGTTGAGACTATAGCTCATATGGTCCATGCATGCGAAGACGTATGGCGTCCGAACATGGTTCAGCACGTAGCCTGAATTTCAGAGAGGTGTGTTGGGGTATAGGGCTCCTAAACTCGATAGCTTTTCGTGACTGGTGCTTGACAGGATCTAAACTTGGAACCATGTGCCCCTAGTATGGGTCCTTAACCCTGGGATCCATATATACCTACTATATTCTCTACATTTACCTTCATTCAGGGTCTGTAGAATTCCCTTTCAAGGCCTAAGGGCCCATATCAGGGGCCCATACTTCTAACCTTAGACAGGGGGTCAAGATTTCTGGTGCAACCCTGAAAACCCTACCCCCCATGGTGGCGTATATGGCAAATTGCCCCCAAATGGCCTCCTTTCAGGCTTTGCATTCGTAGAGTTTACGCAGAAGCTAGGATCACGCTATAATGCCAAGGAAGCTGCAATCGGTTTCTCCAAAGCTAGGGTAGCATCCCCATTCGTAACCAAACCCTGAAACTGTGAACCTTAGATATGTTGGTAATCACCTAGGCCCCCAGAACCCTCGCCCCTGGATGTATTGGCAAGCACTCATGCTCCTAGCGTAGCCAGTCTTGCAGCGAGGCGCTCCCACCCAGCTCGGAGGATCGCGCGCGCCAAGCAGCCTCGGAGCAGCCCGCCTGGCGTGGGGTTGCGGATTATTTTGCGCTACACTTGTCTTTTAGTTCTATAT